GCCCCCCCCTGCCCTCCCCCCCGCAGCCCCAGCAACACACACCCGGGGCAGGCAAATTATCCGTTTCTTAAGCAGCCCAGCGGCTCAGCTGCGGTTTTGCTGCCACAAACGCAAGAGGCAGCAGCAGTTGCTGTTCATCAGGTCATTTGCAAGGGGACACCAAAATAACAGGCGTAAGCAAGGGAGCAGGAGGCAGCGGCTGAGCCAGCCCGGCAGCGCCCGGAGCGGCTCTGTGCTGCCCGGGGGGTCCTTGCTGCCTGCTGTGCTATGACTTCAGTGTAGCAAGCAGATCGAAGCTCTAGCAGAAACGGTTTCGTTGCTGGCTCTGGGACGGGCTTGCTGTGCGACACTGGATGTGCAACATTCCTCATCTGCCCCAGGAAGTGTTGCTGGTGGCTTTGACATCGGTGCATCTTCGTACACCAGTACATCCAAACATTAGCAGAGGTAGGGTGGGCTCCGTTCAAGCAGCTAGTAAAAAAAACCCCAAGACCAGCACGGAACCACCGTGCAATCACATACGAGAACTGAGGTACAGCTCATTACCACCACTAAGCTCACCGCCACCAACCAGTTTTCCCCAGCAAGTTTCTCCAACAAGCTGTAAAACCCCTCCTGTAGCGGGAAGCAGCAAGCACAGTCGTTAGGGCTGGCTGCCCATTGCAGGAGATTCTAGGACCCCGTTCAAAGCCTGGCTTTGATTTTGGATACAGGTAGACTTCAACCCTCCAAAGCTCAACCGGTAACTGCTGCCATGCTAAGTACACGAACTCAGCTGCGTGTGGGAGATGAAAAGTGGGTAAGCCCCATATAACTTGCATTTTACCTTAAGCTCTGCCCACTGCTGGCTTACTACAAGAGACCAACACCTCTAACAAGTTACTGAGCATCCCATAACTTATCCTAACCGAGAGAAGGCCAGGATGCTTTGGACATGGAAAGAATTCCAAGGTTATCCCACGTGCTCAGAAAAATAAAAATAAGGAGGACACTAAATGCAATTCATCCAGCCTGGCAATCCACTCATTCAGGTGGATGGGGAGCGGGATCCAGCACTGCCAAGGTATGGAGCGGAGCATATCACCATCTACAGGTGGCTATATATATTACACATCGGCATTACACGTACTGGCATTAACATAATTGCCCCCTCCAGCTTCAAAAATAATCAGTGAGGCTAAAACCTTAACACCAGTTGCAGTAACTTAAACAGAACTAAAACCTGTGCACGTAAAAAAAAAAAAAAAATCAATTAAAAATCGAACTCTCTGTAGCCATGACAAATTAAACTGCTATCAGCCTTTCTAGCTAGCTGAAACATCTGAATTGAAATGCTTATATACATTTATAAAAAAACCCATCGCCATAACATTCAAACTCTAACCTCCCAGGGATAAGTGCTTTAGCCCAAGAGAGCTTATCAAAAGGGGCAGACTGCATAAAAAAAATAGATGCTTCCGTGCTCCAAAGGGAAGAAGTTTGAGAAAGCAAATTCTGAAAGAGAAAACGTCCACCACCACACCAGCTCCATGGTACCATGCATGTCAGCTTCACTCAAACACGGCACGTTGTAAGAGCTAAAGGGAAAAATAAAGCAGTTGTTTAATAACCTGCCAACTACCCCTCCTCCGACCTGGCTCTACCATTAACAAGACACTGACGTGGGGAAACACAAAGAGGAAACAAACGAAGTCCCCCCCCAACAAATAGTCGATTCCCTTTGCGGGACCTCAGGGAGGAAATTATCCCTACACCGAGGAGAACTCGCTCGTACTGGGGCTGGGAAGGATGGGGCTCAGAAGCACAGCAGTCAATGCCCTGGCACAGCTTGCTGGGATTAGATCCCCCTCCTTCTGTTTGCTTCCTCTGCTGAATCTCACACACTCACTGTAGTCTTTGCTGGTGTTCAGCTGACGGGCTTTGCAGGAGGAGGCAGCTGCAGGGATCTGCGTGGCCCCAGCGATGGTACTAGGATGCACAGCTTTTCACCTCACGGCTGGTTATTCCAAACGAGTCCCGGTGAGCAGCAACCACCTGATTAAAAATCCATGGTCTCCAGTCCAGTCAGGTCTTACACTTCAGGTGTCATCTAAAAAGGAACTAAAACCAGCACCACGGAAATGTGGTTATGCCTGGCTTATTCAGCACCCCTGACACAACTCGGTACAAAAACACTCAGAGGGAACCTTGCAATCCATGATTTTATACTACAGGCTCTATCTGCTGGACGGGGAAATGCCATGCATCCATCTTTTTTTGCAGTTTCCATACAGCAATTCCTTCTGCACACCCACAGATGAACTCTGACAGAAGGCAGGAGGAAGAGGAGAGTCCCTCTCCAGAGCTCAGTATAACACAGCTATGGATTAGATCACTAAATAAAAGGAAGATCTGGAATAAAGGATATGAAGGGAGGCCTTTCCCCTCCTTCCTTTAGTTTTTCCCCCTCCCAAAGTTCTATCCATCCCCAGTCTCTTAAAAATATTGACAGACTCCACAAAGAAAAAAACAAAGGAGCACCAGTCCCCCACTTGAGATAAATGAACTAAGAACTTCTTTTATTTCTAATTTTTAGAACCAATAAAAATTTGTAGGCAAAGAATTTGAAAGAAATTCAGGGAAAGTGCTAATTTTCAAACCCCTTTGGTTCTCCATTGGCTCAAAGTTGCTTCTGTTCGTTCCTCTGTAAAATCATGTTCATTACATAATCAGAAACACTTTAAAATCTTCCAGTTATGTGAATTCTCACCCTGTTACTAAGGCCAACCACTCCAAAATTACATAGCACTAATGCAACAAAGTGCTTATAAAAACAGCTCTCCACACTAGCTACTTCAGCCTTTCAAAACTTAAAAGCATCCCTAATTTCTGCAAGTTGTCGAACCGCTTACACACAAGCAAGAATCCTGTCCTGCTCCCTGAGCAAATCGGCACCTCAAAAATAGAGATGGAGGATATGAAAAATTATTGTCACCACACAATGCTAGGAGACAAAAAAAAGCCCCCCAAACCAGAACATCCTCCCCCCGCAAACCCCCCAAAATACCCAAACCAGTTCTTACAAAATTCAGCAATGCTGAAGTCCAAAGTTTCAACTGAGAAAACTCCAGTTTTAAAAAAAAAAAACCAGGTGCCTTTGGTCGTTTCACAACACCACACTGATGCTACTGGCCAGGTCAAAGATCCTTCCTGCGTTCCCAGGAGCAGCACAGGGCCTCGGCGGTTCTGTGGTGCCCTGTCCCCAAGAGCTGTTTGGGGGCTGGCAGCAGCTCACGCAGTCCTCAGAAGTACACAGCAGCTCTCAGTGTGGCTTCCTTGGCTTCCAGATGCCTGACATTCAGAACTGTGAGCATCACCTCCTACCTCTGGAAAACTCACTGCAGCGGGTTATTAAGAAAACAAGCTCTGATACAGGCAGATTAAATCCCTGCACTCGACAGGGACAGATTTTGCACAGCTGTTTACTAGCCCTGTCTCGTAAAAGGGCTTCAGTAACAGCCTAGAAAAGCCAACCACGAGCAACCTGCCAACTCTGTATACATCTCTTGCCAACTCCGTATACATCCCTTGCTCCGTTTAACAAAGCCAACCCATTGGGACACAACCAAGAAATCACCCTAGGTGCTTGGCAGACGCAGGGCCATGAGATGCACTTTCAAAAGCAAAAAATATTTGCTCTCCGAAGACCACTTAAAGCTAGATGTGTTCTTCTTCTGTATCACTTTGGGACACTCTTCTTAAACCCATCTGTCCTTACCAACAAAGCTCTTGCAAACAACCGTCACATTTGACCTCAAGATTCTTGGAAATACATGACTGGAATAAATGCCATTGATAACTAGTAGCGAAGAAATAACAATGAAACATCAGTAGCAAAGCACTTTAAACATCCAGCCCACCACATGTTGGAACAAGAGAGAGACACACACAGGAGAGAGACTTAAACAATCCATCAATGTTGCTTTATTAAAATCTTTATTCACACAATGTTGCTTTATGTGGAATCTGACCCTGGGGGATACAAGTAGAAAGTCATGATTGCATTCTGTTTTCTTATTAGCAACCTCCATTTGTGCGGCTGCTCCCAGGGGCAATCCTCTGACAGCTCCAAGAGGGGGTGTCTGTTTCAAGCATCTTCCTCCAGCTGCCACAGCAAATAAATTACCTTCTTAATAAATTAGTATTTTTCAGTTGAAGTTTGTTTGGCAAGACACACTCCAGTTCATTAGCTGCTGGAAGAGGAGCCGACTTCACTGTCTCCTCCAGACCCAACTGCTGACTTGGGAAGGAGGAGATAAATAGCAGATGGCTGATGATGCTCTCTTTTTAATTAGTTCTTGATTTCTCTGCTTCTAGCACTCTGATATTACTAATATTCACAACACAACCATTTTGTAACATCTGGAGCCAGCGAATTACAGTGTGCACAGTGAACAAGAATTAGGAGGTGTCATTAAAACCTCATCAACAGAGCGTAGCACCTGCCTCACAAATGACGTTATTTTTCAGAGATTCAAGCAGACCCTATTTGCATGTGGCTGCTGCTTCTTATTTCCTTTGCAATGGTTACAATTTAAAATTTCTTAGGGTTCTGTATTCAAGCAAAACAACAATCACTGCCAAAATGCCAGAGATTATCACAAGGCCAAAATCAGATCTTCCTGACTTTGGGTAAGAGACGAATTTATTCTTCTTTCCTGATGCAGAACACCAAACTCCAGTGGTGTTTACAGCGACCAAAAGCATCAACATGACAAAAAAAGAAGAAAAGAAGCAACTGTTTCTTGCTTCCTCCTACTGATGATGTCGGACTTCGTGCCCTTTGTTTACAATTAAACCAATATAGTGCTTTAAATCTTTGACATTCGTACCGGGGGAAAACTTATCCCCAAGTTCCACCTGATGGCAAAAGCTTCAGCTTTGAGGCCTGTGAACAAGCAATACATAAGCCCTGAACAGTAATTTAATTTCATAAAGACAGAAAGACTTTTTTGGGATTCTATTATTAAATCAAATATATATGATCAAGAGTGATCAAATATAAATCGAAACTTCAAATTTTGGTAGATCCTTCCCAAAATACTAAGTGCTCATGATTAAGTTCAAAGAGAAGAACATGCTTTTAAAAATGCTATAAGCCACTGCCATGTGCTTCACCAACTCCCTATGAATCTATTCTCCATTAGAATAAAAGCATTCACTAACCACCTAACTGTTGCCCACAGTACTTTCCAACAGTGTCTCGCTGAAGCACCGAAATCTGACAGGAAGCCAGGCGACAGGCCAGCACAGCCAGCGAGAGAGGAGGGCAATCCCTGCACGGCCCCTGCCCACGCTCGCCATCAGCCGAGCGCACTCCCTTCTGCCCTAAGAGAACCCACAAGGCACAACCCACGCCGGTGGGTTAAACTCACCCAAGGACCATGGCTTCTAAAGCATGTGTTATATTATCAAGTATAGCAATAAACAGGCACTAGCTTAACACCAGTGTCCAAAAAGCTGGCCGTGCATTACAGTCCTGGCTAGTAACACCAATAAACAACGCCACATCTCATCCTGACTGTGGGGTGGGTCTGTGACGTGGCCAAGTCCAGAAGAGATCTAGAAGAACATAAAATCCAATCTCAGGTAGATGGGTGAATTCTGCTTTCAAGATACTCTGCTCAGGCAATGACAAGAAGACTTCAACAAAATAGAACTGCATTTTTAAAATAAACTCTCTCATTAACACCTCTTTGATCAGGCAGGTGGCAGCAGGTGCAAGAGCAGGAAAGAGCACTTCATCTGCCTGCCACACTACTGCAGAGCTAGAAAAGCAAATCAAGGAAAAGGTCTTAAACTGACACTTTGCTGCTCTTGCTCACAAGTTCAATAATACGTAATCATTTTGGGAAGTGAGCCCTTCCCTTACTTCTTAAGGACCATACTGCCTGAACTGAAAATCGATGCACACCTGTTAAATTTGGAAATGTAATGACGAAGCTGCTTCCCTTCTGGAGACGTAGATTCAGACCTACCACAAGTGTGACAAGTTTTATGGCCACAAGCTCATCTGCAGCACAGGTTGAGCAGTGCCGAAGGATGACAGGACTAGCACAAGATGAGAGCTACAAGTCCACCCTGAAAAGCTCACTTGCACCAACCCTCCCCATCTACGGCAAAACCATTAGGAGTGAGGACCCCGGGATGACCTCCCCAGTCAGAACATCACAGTGGGGGTTGTTGCAGGAAGCAGCTGGGGAAGGCAGAAAACTTACTGGAAGTGCTCACAGCTTCAGAGCTTGGCCGCAGGCCAGGCCAGGCGGGACTAAAAAAGGGCTGGTGTTCCACAAAACAGCAGCACTGAGCTGTGATTACAACACTGAGCAGCAGAAAGCTCCCTCCGTACGAGATGATGAGGAAAGACCAGAGCTCAGGGTTTTGTCTACTCTTCGGGGCCTTGCCCATGGCTGTTGGTTATAGCAATACATATATATATTTTTATATATATATATAGCAATACACCTATCTTTTGCCAGTGCAACACACCCAGATTCCCCAAATTAAATAGGGCATACAGTAAGCAGCATGTCCTTGCTAAACGGAACCTGCTTCCAAGGACAGATTATCTCCTCCTCCTCAGCTATCATACAATGAAAATTTGGTTAATATGGACACAGGACTGCAAGGATATTTCCTCTACTCAGACCTTGCCAGATTCCTTATAAATGGAAAACAGCAGGACACATGGAAACTTACTTTAACCCCTTAACTACCAAGTGCTGTATAACCGCCCTGTCCTCCCCTAAATCTCCAACCCTGTGGATAAATCCTCGACAGGACTTCAGCGAAAACGCTGAAGCATTATCATTTATGAGGCAAACCCCATTCCCAGCCTTTTATCGAGAAAAAGACAACTGAGCAGCAGAGGTCCCCTCTCCCACCCCTAATGGCATTCAGAAGAACATCCCACCCCCGGGGGGGTGACACAACTCTTCAGTCTAGTAATTATTTTATTCACCACTTCCTTTCTCTAAAGAAGCAGTAAAATGCCTAACCAGCTCACAGCTGATTATGTACAACCCTGAATCAGACAAAAACTCGCAAGAGTATATGAGGGGAAGAGAAGGGGAAAGGATTGTACTGTTCATCTCCATTTGTCCCCTCTAGATTCAGTCCACAAATTAGCGTCTGCATTCCACACACTTCCACCAACACCAAGAGCCATTTTTATCCAGTGCAATGTCCACTGCCGGCAATGGACACACCACAATGGCCAAGATGCCATTACAAGTACTGAGCCGTTCAAGGCTCTGACTTCCCACCTCTCACTGCTGTCAGCCCAAGGTAAAAGCCAGTGTCACCTCTGTTTCTCTGGCTCGGAAGCTTTCCTGTTCTTTTCAGTCCATCTTGGCCACAGCCCTTCCGAACTGATTGTGCTGTTTTTCTATCGCTTTGTTGTTTGTTTTTTAAAAAAGGAGTTTCATCTGTGTTCCACTACAATTACAAATGAGACAGTGTCATCCTGTCTTCCACCAGCACAACATCTGGCCCAAACTGGTCTGTGCACTGCTTCACTGTAGCCAGAATGCTGAGAAGCCGCTGGTCTAGGGCATCCAGATGAGGGTCAGAAAGCACTGGTGAGATGGGGTCATGCGACATAGCAGTTTTTAAGGCAGACTTCAGTACTCCATTCTTCAGGTAATTGAGTCTGTTCCAGGTAGAAACCCGGATGCTGCAAAAGGAAGAAACAAAGATGTCATCACAGCACTGTCCAGCTGAAGTCCCATCAGCAATACCAAAAGGCAGCCTCTTGAGGGAGCCCCTTACATCATGATTTTATTTAAGCAGAAGGGAGTCTTATTACAAAAGTGGTTTTGGCAAAGGAACGTCCAGGTATAACTGCATTATACACAATGTCCAAGTGAAACTTGAAAACTAAAGGTGAAGAAGTAAGAATCTAATGTGATGTAATTCCTATGTTATATAGGAACACTTTCAACTGCTGGCAAGGAAGTTCTTCAGTCCTGAGGCCTCCTGGACACAGTTTGAAAGGGAAAGAAAAGGGAACAAAATAAACAGCCTGGCTGTTAATTCAAAACCAAAATTCACATCACCTCAGGAAGAGCATCCCTGACCAACAATTAATTACAAAGGACACAAGTCAGTCAACTGAAATCCCACAGAAAGCGAACACAGCAGTGATCTTCCTGCTTCATTGCCCATTGAACCCGATGATGTCAGCCCATCTAAACTGTCTTGTTCTAGGAAGTCTCTTGGGATTCTCTCCCAAAATTTTGTGGTTTAGCACCACTGGTCTAAACTCTTGGCTTATGATGGCTTCCAAAGAAACCAACAATATAAGTGTTATAACAAACCCATAGTTAAAACAATTGTACATATGTCTTCTTATGTGGCATTTGCCTGGTATCGGAAAGAAAGGGTATGTGAAAGCAGGAAACTGCAAAGTCTCTTACATAGATAAACTTCCCTTCTGATTGCATTTGGGAGAATCTACACGAGAAAGACTCCAAAAGATCCTCCTAAAACAGGAAATCAAAAATGCTTTTACAATTAACATAGGAAAACTAAAGAATTTGAAAATCATTTACTGTAATTATTCTCCATATGGATTATGCAAGAATCTTGCAGGATGTAGGCCAGGTGTACTGTAGCATGCACGGAGCCTTGCTTAGCACAAGCAGGAGGGGAGAGTTCAGGCCTTCTGCAGAGTTCCCAGGTTTCACAGGCCGCAAGGAATTTGGGAGACAGAACCCGCCAAGGACAGGCTCGAGGAACTCTCAACTAAATGCTTAATTTGGAAGGTTTAAAGGAGTTAATGTTATCATGAAGCAACAGATACAGGAAACAGCTATATCACTATTTTTCTTCCTGGTACTTTTATCTATTTGTTAATGAGAAGTAGCAATGGCCTGGTGAGAGAGTGGCCACAGAAAACAGAAACAAACAGGTCACAGTCTCTAAAAATAAAACAAACAAAAAAACAGCTCACAAGGCCAAAGTGGAAACAAAATTCTGTAAAAAACCTACAAACTTCACTTTGAAAGAAGCACCCTGAGCAGCGCTGTAGTCTTGTTTAGAAAGAACATTTGGAAATGAAGGTAGTTAAGCTGCCAGGCACGTTGAGTCCTTAGCTTCTGTCAGGGAGAACTCAAACTGTGATGTGAACTTGTATTTGGCAGGAGCTGTACGCAGACAGCTGCAGATGCAAAGTACCTGTCACACTGACTAAGGACAGATTTGAACCAGTGACTTGGAGGTGGGACTACTTCCTACAGTCTAGTGTCTGATTTACTACCTTAATAAAAATGTAGCTTCTTGAGCAGCGACAATGCATCAAACAAATGTAATACCTCAAAAAAGTGAAACACTATGTACCCAAGTGAACATTTTCGGGTTGCCAGAAGGCTGCAAACTTAATTATATTGCACACCTAAGGGCAGCAATTGCGTAAGTGAACAGAATCCCTGTGTTTCACTTACATGCAGCACTGATAAAGAGGAGCCAAGATGCTTCTTTCATCCAGGGCAGGGTTTCCAAAGCTGAAAAGCAAAATTAAAACCAAGTGAACCCATTGAACTCCTAATGTTGTTCTCAACATCAACGGATTTGTAAAGAATTCAAAAAAATCAATACTAGGCAATTTCATGCTCCAACAGCTTAAATCATTTCAATTAAAATATAAACAAGCCATGACCAATTACAGATATAACTCTCAACAGCATCAGCTAATGTACCAGATAAACGGAAGCAACACCAGCATACCTAGTTTCAGCTTTGCCTGACACAGCTGGACAGGGAATGAACAAAATAGCAGCTACATGCTGGTTTAGATGGCCAAGCTTAGATGAACAGTTCAACAATCAAGGTGATCATCTTTACCATTTCATGATCACACTTTCTAAGTGAGGCCTGCCAAAAGGATTTTGTAGTATTTCAAGCTTCATCTAAACACGTGCTTTTTTTTTAATATAGTTTCACCCTCCTCATAATACCGCTTTCAACACAGAACTTTCCCTTCAATAAAGATAACTTACTCTAGGAGTCTGGCATTACTCTGCTCAAATAATTCTGTTATTAGTAGCTTTGAAGCTGGAATAAGCACCCCAGGGAAGGGGTCACAGAACCAAGGAGTGTCTGGACGATGCTAGAAGTCATACAGTTTAGTTTCAGTTAGGCCTGCGAGGAGCAGGGAGTTGGACTTGATGATCCTTATGGGTCCCTTCCAACTTGGGATTCTATGAAAAAGCTGTCCCCCTATCCCTTATCTCAAAGGAACTGAAAGAACTTTACTTAAGCTTTCAAGAAAACAATTTACTTCTGGGCCTGCAAAGCCCCCACTGGAAATGTTTTCATAATGTTACAAGCACGTATCATAGTGAAAGATCTAATACGACCTTCAACTACTATACTCGCTTCCAGTGACTAATACATTAACTTCCTCCTAACACATTACTAGAGCATTACAGAAAGACAATTTTTGCCAAATTCACCTAAAACAGTCCGAAAGCAGCAATAACTAAGCAGTCCCAAGGTGGAACACATCCTGCTGACATAACTGATGGGAGTGTTACTTCAACAGGCCGATGCATAAAGACAAAAAACCTCAGCCACTGCAGGCAAATTACAAACAGGAAGGAAGGAAGGAAGGAAGGAATCTACTGTACAAATGGCAAATGAGGAAAGAAATGGTAACTCCAAGCCTTTCAAGGCTAGATCAGACGTCTCAGCTGCTGTGTACACTTCGTACAAGCAGCACGCAAAGCCACTTGCAGAGCAGAGCCTGGCATGGGAACTACCAGAGCTAATCATCAGAACCTGGTCCATCCACAGAAGGGGAAACTCACTGCCCATCAGAAAAAAAAACTTGGGAGTCTCTGGACTAAATCATGATAAAGTGGAATAGGTTGTCTTTTATTTTTAAGAAAAATCAAGCAAATTGTTATGATTTAAACACGGCTGCATCTTCAATAGGGTTTTTAACTTAAACTATGCCAGCCAACATACAAAAACTATAGCAAAGACAGAATAACTCCCATTCTGAACTCACATGTTTAACAGTAAACTTCGACCTCAAGAAGGACTTCTCATCAGTTCCTCCCAGTTACCACATGCTTCATTTTTGTTTTGATAACAGGCAATATCCACACTCAGGACATCATCTAGTTTGTTCTCAGTATCAGTTCTATCTCCATTTTAAACTTCTAACCTTTTAAAACCAGAGCAGACAGATCCAGAAGGCAGGGAATGCCAAATTATTCAGAGACATGTTTTGAAAACTACTTTTACTATGGCACTCATTAATACTCACTGGTAAATAATAAATCAGAAGTTTTTAATCTTCCACTAATTAAAAGCACAAAAGGGAGGGGCTTTTCTGGGGAACCTTTGAAAGTTCCTTGGGGGAAAAAAGGGTCATACTGTGCTAATTCAGCTGTTTCTGTAGTTTGAGTAAGACTTTGCCCAAAACAGTCATAGTATCTAGAGCACAGAGTAGGCATCTGAAGGACCGTAATATTTGGTGAGTAATTTCTGATAAGAAGGAAAGCTTTGGATTTTTAGCACAAAAGGTATTAATGAAAAAATTAGTGAGAGAAAACAAGAGAGATGCAGAGCAGATAAATGTCTGCCCTTGTGCTCATCACTGCCTGGCCACTAGGATTTCCCTTACCTTTTGGCATTATCCAAGAGGATGAGCATACTGGCTCCTTCATCATCCTGGAAACTCTCATAGTGATGCCGGTCAGCATTCCCAATCAAATAGTCAAAGATGGCAGTGTCGATGATATCAAGGAGACGGGGGCCCGAGTCATAGGGTGAAGTCTTCTTCACAGCATCACAATAGCTTTCATCATACTCCCACCTGCGGGCCGTCAAGAGAAAATAAATCAACTCTTCAAGGGACACTTCATCATTGCACACCAAAGGTGTTTATGGCTACCCCTTTATTCACTCATGACTGTGTAAAGAAAAGGTGAGCGCAGCAGTCAAGGCTATATAAAGAAGAAAGAGCTAGATAAAAGTGTTTTATTAAAAGAGTAAATCCTATATTAAAACCCTAGTGTATGTAGCAAGCTATAGTTTCAGTGCAAGGTTACACATTATCTCCCTACAGAAAACAACATCAGAGTTTGCTTCCTCACTGCTCGCAATTCAGCAGTGGTCAGGCTGCCTCACCATGACTTGCCTCCCTTCATTTTCTAACCAAGGACTTCAAGTACCGTGTCTATTTCTGTTGCCTTGACCTGCTTCCATCAGTCTTGCTTTCCAGTGATCCTCTTCATTTTTCCTTTCTAATGCAAATAACCACATCATGGTTACTAATGACCTCCTCCGGCCTGAAAAGGGCCTCATATGTGTTCATTCTCCTTCACTGACAGTTGTCTCTTTCCTCCCCACTTTCCTTTCAGAACCTCTCACTTTCTCCTCCAATGGCAAGATTTCAAGCTTCCCTTTTTTCTCCTCTCTTACACGTAACCTAGGCATGTATTAGTGGTCTTATAACATGGATGTTATTTCTCAATTCTCAAAAGCTAGGATTTTAAATTTTCTCATTTTCTTCTTTACAGTTTTCAAAGCTATTCAACACTACCACCGAAACAGCCAAATCTCTGGTGTATATCCTTTCCATCTGTCAACCTAAATAACAAGTACATCTATAACATCTTCCATGTAAGGACTGAAACAATCCTTCACAAAATAGCAGTTAAGTTGGAAATGCCTTACACCATCTGTGAACTGGAAACAGAAATGGAGGAAACACAAGCTGGAGAGACTCACTGACATGCTCAGAATCGCAGAGAGTCATAAAAGCAGGGAGAAGATCAGAATTTAACTACCAGAACTGCCACATACCCCACCTCATCTTCTAGAGGTCTGGAGCCTAAGCTCACATTATCCCATCTTTCTTCCAGTTATCCAAATCAGAGTGGCCAAAATTGTATTTTCTCAATGTTTTTGTTAACATGCCATATACACTCCTGAAATGATGCCTCTAGTTCCCTCTTTCTTTTGCGTCAAGGTCCAGCACAACACTCAATTTACAGCACAAACACACAAGCCAAACATCTCAAAACACACTCCTCCTTTTACTAGATAAATTTCTTTTATGCTACACTGTTCTCTTCCTCAAGTGTTTCTCTTTCTCTCATTTAACTTTAGATCAGTACTTAATCTCCTTGCAACAATTTTTCAGATACACTATGCTCTCTCTTCTTATTTTTCATTCACTCTTTCAAGATAGACCTTTCTCTGACATTTATTTCTGATCATTTATTAGCATAGGACTTTGAAGGTCAGGGATTTTATCTATTACACTTCCATTAAAAATCATGTACATTAATATGACTATATGAATTATATTCAAAAGGTTAACTCAGGACGGAGCAGTAGCAGCTAGATTGGGAAGAAAATTCCTACAGAGTTCTTTTTCCATAATTACCAGACAGAAAAAGGAGAACGTTTAATTCTCCTTATGCTCTCAGAGTGAAAAGCACAACATGACAAGATGCAAAACAACAGAACCATGCAATCCCAGCTGAATGAGGCAAGAGCAAGTAAGTTTAAAATACAGCAAGTATCAAATCAGCATAGGCATCAGGGTAAACTCCTGTATAAGTAGGCAGTTTATGATGAAAAACAGTCTCTCAAAAAAAGAAACACCTCCAAGAAATTCAGTCAATTAATTACTGCAATTTACCATGTACTAAATACAGCTGATTTTGACCTGTTGAAAAGGAGATAACATCTGCTGCTCAAAAATCAAACTATATATTTAATACTCTAAAATAATTCAATGAAACCTTTGGATGGGGTTCTTTCTGAGAACAATCACATCATTGGAAATCAATAGATCAAGGACTAAAAACCTCTTTCTAATCACCTGTCCAGGACACAGACTTCAAAAAAAGTACTAAGTGTGAAATAATCTGCTCTGGTCATGGCAAAACCATCTCCAACCCAAATACTTGGACATGTTACTATTGTACAAGATTGTTAGATCCCATGTTTGTCTTCTCTGAAAGCATTCTTTAGATGCTGAGCACAGTCACAAATGCTGATGGTATTCAAAGCAAAGAAGAACTTTTCAGTGCCTACCTACTTAAGCTAAACCAGCCCCACAACTTTTGAAACAAACTACAAGTATCACGAAATCAGGTCTGGCAGAAAACTACCCCGTGCTACTGTATTTTAGTAGGCCACAGAGGGGCACAGCATCAGAAGAAGATCTAGCGACACAAGAGGAGACTCTTGGTTCGCCAAGGGCCAAGATTTTAAGAGCCTGGAGTCAATGTATGGTGGAGTTATGTTCCAGGCAAGAAGTAGAAAAAGGACAGCACTTAGTATCATGGAAAACAAGATTTCGTTCTTGCTCATTTTAATTTAAATCTCATCCTAGACTTCGTGACTTCTCGTGTCATACCAAAAAAGCTGCCGGCAAAACTCTAGGTTTTCAGAACACTTGATCCTTAATTAGCTACTTTATTGCAAGAGTAATTCTGGTACAAATTAACATGTTTAAAGAATAACATTATCATGTTCTCATACCTGGCAAGTTTGCCTTCACGGTAAGTCCTACCCCATGGGTGCCGATGCTTCTGAAGAGGCCAGACATCTGGTAGCCACAGGGTCACTGACCCCTCCATGATGTCCCCATCTGCACAAGCTGGTTCTGTTTCCCGACAATAGTAGCACTTCCCATAGAAGCAAGTGTTATTACCTTAAAAAGAAAAAAAGAAATAATAAAGAGGTATCAAAAGAGCAGAACTTAATCCAAGGAATGCCAACTGAAATTCAGGAGCACATTGTTGCAGCAGAGCCTTCCCTGCAATAGGATTCCACTGCACTTGACCTCATGCTTCCTGCCTCTGAGAAGGAGAGGCTGAAGAGATTAAACAGACATCTATTAATTCAAAGCAACATTAAAGACTAATATTCAAAGGAGAGAGTAACTATATTTTCTAATGTTTTTATCACACTGAGAATTAATACAACATTGCACTATCAACAAGTTTTTGTGATCCCTTCCTAGTCCTTAGGACCATGACTTTGCAACCTTAGCACTCCTTGATTTTTAAATTCTACACTTCATGTGTCAGATTTAGGTTAGACATTAGGAAAAAATTTTTCAATGAAAGGGTTGTCAGGCACTGAACGGGCTGCCCAGGGAAGCGGTGGAGTCTCCATCCCTGGAGGTATTTAAGAGACCGGTAGACGAGGTGCTTAGGGACATGGTTTAGTGGTAGGATGGCAGGGTTGGGTTAACGGTTGGACTTGATGATCTTAAAGGTCTTTTCCAACCTAAATGATTCTATGATTTCTCACTTTTTTGAAAAACACAAACAAGCTGGCAAAAGTTTCACGCATGTCTTCTCACAGGAGAGGAACAATGAAACCCTGCAGTCTTTAATCCAGTAAGGCCTACGTAGCCTGTAGCATACAGTAAACTACATAGCCTAGATTAACATTTTTAGCTTAACCTTTTATATGTCACCCTTCTAATCTGCCTTTGCTTGACCCTTGCCAAATTAATTGCAGTTCCACACTCACAGATATTCTTCCAAAATATTCTTCAATTATGTCTCACTTCCTTGTGATTCCACTTATTCCCTGCCCTTTCTTCCTTTGGCTCTACATCCAATATCCTCCCCAAACCAGGCCCAGCTCACTGAAAGACGTGTTTTTCACTTTTCATCCTTACACATCCCAATCCTTTAGCCAGCCAGTACTCCTCTGCAGTCCTCCATCCAGACCCGGTGCTTGTGCTCCCACCACCCCAGACAGACATCAGAGAGATGATCATTAACAACACAGATCTTGCAGCAGACCAGATCTCTTATCTGTATGGAAAGCCCTGCAAGTCTCTCTTCCTTTTCCATGGCCTGCAGCAGGTCTAGCAAGAGACAGAATTCTGAGATTCCAGCTGTAACTCTAGCAAATCTGCACTAAGTATGCATGAATATCTTTTCTTCAAAACCTCCGAAACTTGGTCAAATGTGGGTTGACAAGAGATCACAACCTTCTCCCCAGATCCACCCATTTCTTTGGTTTACACTCTGCAGAACAGGCGGTTCCAAGGAATTTAAGGAAAGGCAATGAACATTTCTGGAGCCATACTTTTCAAGTCAGCATTTCTGCTAGAAAACTGCTTAGTTATCTTGGCTGAAATTAGAAAAAGTAAAGTCTGCCTGAGGCAGACACCCAATCTGAATGCAAAAAGAGTTTGGCAAGGCAGAGTTACTCTCATCTGAAAGTTACACCTTATAACTGAAAGCGTTAGGCAAACTTAGTAGGTGAGACTACCAACAGTGCTTGTAATAGACATACACAGGCACACATATTTATCAACTGTAATGAACAATCATCTCTAGAGTCTTCCTATTGGAAAAAAAAAAAAAAAAAAAAAAGAGTAATAATTGGATATTTTATGAAAGCCTGAAAGAGTTAAGGCTGCAGCTCAAGTAATTTCTTGGTGCTTAATGACCACCTGGTAGGAGTTCACCTTAATAATTCCCATTAAGTGCCCCTCACAGCATTATTACTGTAAACAACATACGGAAGTTCTGACACATTTAGTTATGAATGCTCAGCAGACTCTGACGTAGCACAAACATCATCTAATACCAACTGACGCATCAGCTGTATAAATTATCCAAAATTACCACTGTTTTCACATTAAATACAATTCTATTTTTTTCCTTTCAGGTCTAACCATAGACTTTTCTAACCACCTCTGACAGCAGAGAGGAAATTCGTAGTCAGAAAAAATCCCATCTGTAACAGCAGCATGAGGGAACACAGAGAAGTTACAGATGAAAAACTACTTGGAGAAAATCAAGTCCTCCTCCCCCGCCAAATGGGGTTATACAAGCATTACGATCTCTCTTGGCACAGAAAGAGACTTACCAGCTTCCTGTGTCATAGTTAACTGTTCTATAACTGTCAGAGTCCCCTGGCTTTTTTTCCCCATTAAACACATTTTTCTTTACTGGGCTGCACAATCCATGGAATCCACTTACCCACAGTCATGAAGGTACCCAGAAGCTGCTCTGTGGCTACTGGTTTGATCTCTGTACGTAGATTCACAAACCTGCCAACCACCAGTGGAGCTCGTCGGAAACCCAGAATTCTGAGTTGGGGTGACAAAACATGACATGAGAATTTGCAAGATAAGCAGCAGTTTCTAAATTAAAACAAAACAAAACCACAGTCTCTGTGCCACTGTCTGAAATTGAGATGACTGAGACCAAAGAATAAAGTTGGGACCCTGCAGCAACCTCCTCTCTTCTCCAAGGCAAAGTAAGGAAACTCATTTTTCTTAAGTGCCTGGATGTTAAACTTGCTTTATAGGCCATCAGTGACGCTCCTTTATTAGAGCATTTGCAGCAGAGCAGCACAGGATGCACCATGCTCCAACTCTCAGAAATCAGACCTCATACCAGCAATATCCATCATCTGTCTTGCTTACAGGCTGAAGCAGTAACCATATGGCCTTTGGGCTGGTCACCTGGAAAGATCATTTATAATTTGTGGGAATTACTATCTATTAAAATGTTATGTTTAAGTCCAATTCCATTATACTTGAAAGTAAACAACCTAGGAGTTATTTTGATTGGCATGAGGGGGGAGAAAGGACAAGAGAACGGTAGAACAAAACTGAATGCCTGAAGTGTCTGGAAAAAAAAGAGAGATGGCAAGAATAATCATAAAACTCGCAGTCAAAAGGTCCAGGTTCCACTCCCATGCCTGCCACAGTCTTTGCTCTGTGACCACAAATGACTTCTGTATTTATAATGGAATTTTAAAAGAGTTTAAAGGAGGAGTACAAACAACACTACAACGTCAGCCCCAACTCTCTTAATGTGCTTTTGATACCCTTTTGTTAGTCTTTGCATCTCGGAAAAAGAGATGCAGAAAAGGCACTACCCCTTCTGAAAAAGAGACAATCTACATTCCACAGAGATACCAGACGGGTCACTCTAACAGCTGCAAAGTATTTTTTTTAGATATTCAACGAGTAAGTCCCCTTCCCTAAGTATAAAATACCTCTAAGAAAGGGCAACAAATCATGTATGCATAAAGACAAAATTCATAGCCAATACAGATAGTTATGCACACCTTGAGAAAACGCAGGCATTCCACGTAAATAAGCACAGAGCTTAGCTCTGGAAAATCTGTCCCTGTATTTTCAGACAGCTGAAAGGCCGGTATCCTGGATAGCATAACCTCCCCATTAGTGGTAAACATACAATATTTTTCAGGTCCTTCTTGAAACAATGGCATCCTCAGACAAAATATGTAACTGTCACCATTTAAAACAAAGGTACACGCCAAAGTTATGTGGGCAGGCAGCTTCTGGTAGGTATTCTTGAAGAATACAGATGTGTGTAGCCACAAAAACAGGAGAAAGGCCAGACAAACAAGCACCAAAACACAGCCAAAGAAAAAGCAAGGAAGAGCTAAGAAAGAGGGGTTTGGACACTGGAAAGAGGCTTTGAATCGTTGCTTTACCATGTTTGATTATTGCTTTTTCAGGAACACACGTGTCTGCATTTTTCTTGAAAGCACAAATGGACAACAGACATCTGGCTACATCTTTTTCTTTCCTAAAACTCCCTGATTTTGGCCTAAAGATTTCAACAGCAGCGACAGGTGTTACCCAACTAGTTTTATACAACTAGAATTTAGTAATTCCACTGCCTGTGCAATGAGTTCCATGGGTGAACGTATATTTTACCACCTATGAATTTGGTCACAGTGACAAGCCTCTTATTTATGTACTAGGAAAGGAAGACTAAAACCTCAGTTTAAGTTTGACCATTTGACTCCCTATTATATTTGTCCCTCCTTATTCTTTTTCCCAAGATTTTAAATCTCTTCATATAAGAATTTTTCACATCTTTAATTATCTTCAGAAATCTCCAAAGTGCCAACATAGTCCTCCTATAACGAGAAGGACCAAGACTGCGCTCATTTATTCTCGAGAAAACTGCACCTTTAACTCATATTTCATAACTATCAACATTCAGTGTTTCGTAATTTCTGTCCCATTTTTTCTATGACCCATAACTTTGGGTTTTTTTCCTGCTAATTGCACCTCCAGCTCAGGTCCACAAAACCACCTGGATGCCCTTGCATAGAATCAATATAGGAATGGCTGTTGTTCGTCTAGGATGCATTGATTCATATTTAGTCTAAACTAAACTGTTAGTCTAGACCTTAGACTTAATTTTTTAGCATACTGGACATTAACTTAGCACGTACATTCAGCATTTCAGACTCTTCCATGGGGTATGGCTAAGCTCTTTCTACATATAACACGAAGTATCATTGGTTTCAGTGCTCATTCTCCATTTCAAATTTCTCAAACAAATCTCAAATATTAGACTCTTGCATAGATCTTCAAAATGAAGTTTCACAGAAAAGCTAATAATCTTTATTTTTGGCTTCAGTGTGATACATTGGCAGGTTTAGAAATAGCTCACATCTGAGACGTATTCTTCAAGGGACCACTTTTTCCCCCAACTCTGAAAAAGTGTTTACCAGAGAAAATAAAAACAGGTAACCCAATAGTTCCATACCTATCCAAGTGAAAGGCTGCCACTTCTGCGTTGTGTCTGTCATAGCCAGCGTATGGTTCTCCTTCCACTACATAATCCCTGGCATATCTGTAATTGAAATAAGTCAAATGAAGTGATTCATGCAGGTTTCCCATCAACTCTGCTGTTCACAGTAACAAGTGCAATAACTGTGCTAAGTTAAACAGACTCTGGGTCACTTTCAGAACTATTGCCCATGGGAGAGGGAAAAATTATTAAAGAGATTAAATAGTGTACAGATTGCTAAAACAGTAAATAAGGAGGAAAGGTCAGTAATGTACAGTGGTCTCAAGAGCTTGGGAAGTGGTGGCCATTCAAACTAATGAGTTTCAATTCAACCATATGCCAAGTCACATCTAAGAACAAAAAGCACAGACCCAGCTACAGAACAGAGGACTGTTTATACTGGAAAGCAGCAACATCACAAGCAATTTTGAGGTTAGAATGGATTGTAGATTAACATGAAAATACAATCTAATATTGTGGAAGAAATGCCAAATGTAATCTTTAGCAGCTAGATCAGCAAGTGTGAACCTGAGGACAATACTGGATATAAAAAAACCCCTTTATTCTAGTGGAGAAAAGACATAATGAACAGCAAGAAATAGAAATGAGACACACATTACAACATCATTATATTTTGGTGAAGTGGTGGGCCTTTTTTTTTTTTAAATAGATGTTACTTAAATAGTCAAGGCAAACACAAATTTCTGAGATTCATGACATTTGAATCAGGTCTAGACACTGCCTAAGAAGCATGCTTCAGATGAGCATAAAATACCACAATCAACACCGAGCAAATGGGTGAAATGCAATACATTTTCAAATAAAGTCAGGCCAAATTAGATTACCAATTTTCTCATTTCCATCTATGCATCAACTTGTGGAAACTGGATTATTTCCAACAGACTCGGGGTTCAAGAAGTAGCAGCAACAGTGCAAGAGAAGCCACAATGCTCTACTTTGATGTTTTAACCCTGCTCAGAGAAGATCTGGGACAAGACGACAGTCCATTTCATCAATCTAAGCAAATGCTTTAGCTTCTTGGTGAGGCAGCTCAACAGAGCATTAACGAGCGTGGGATGGTATGGAGTTTTTGGGAGGAGGATTTGACAGATTCCTGCCAAATTGTAACTTACTACAAATAAGCATCTTATTTCACATATACCACTGGCATGTGATGGTAGCAACTATTAATAATTAATAACTTAGGCTGGATTCCAAGTACTTTTGAAACGAGATAGCTAATCCTCAGAACGTGTTCTTGGCTTCAGGTTTTTTGTATATACTTACAGCAGGCTTTTGAAAACATGGTCGCATTTTGAAAGCTGCAGAGCTAAAACTTATTGGTAAAACACAACCAACTTCTTGCTTCTCTGCGCAGTAGGCATGTAGTTCTTTCTAGAGCAAAGGTGGCAAATCAAGAGAATTCATTCTTCCCCAACCTGTAACTTTTCTCAAAAAGGTTTTTAGTAGTAACTTTCACACACCTTTCAGGTCAAAAGCTAGTTAAAGAGGCTACCTTGCAAGGACAGAATAAGACTACCCACAAGCCTAGCTATTCAGCAGTCACAAACAGAACATGGGTCTACCAGTATGGCTAGGGCCATACTGTCTAGCACCCCTAGAAACTGTCCAGCACTCCTATAAACAGTCCCAGCTGCATGTGTCCTTGAGGGAGCGTAGTCACTGTGATCGCCTGCACAGACATTCCGTTATGGGAATGTAACTTAATGCTTGGTGAAACGCTTTATGGCAGTCACTTATACGGAAAGCACTACAGAAATGCCACGTCTTGTTACTGCATTTATTCGATGAGCTGCCTGCCGTACCACCAAGACTTCTGAGTGAAAGGTTCACACTGTTTAAACACAGCCTAGCCTCACAGCAAAGCTCCAGCCAGACCAGTAACTGACCATACAAAATCAGGGCTGAGAATTTAAGAAGCGGAGGGCAGATTTTTTTTCTCATTCTCTAATCATTCATTAACATGACAAAAAAACTTCATGCTTGCTCAACCCAATATCCTTTGGAGAGAGCTGTACTCATTTGGCAATGACACTTTACATCTGCAGCGCACTCCCATAAAACACACCTGCCTTACTTTTTTTACATCTCTCTTTCTTCTCCTTTTCCCTGTAGGCAAACAGTTCAAAAAGGTTTACAGATGTGCACAAGACTCTTCATAAATGTTCATTCATGTCAAATTTCCCTGTAGATTACTGCAAACAGAGACCATGCCAAGGAAGTATCACGACCCACCCATTCTTTCATTGCTCCTCCAGTATTCCCTATTGGCAGACAGGAAACTCAGGGGCTTTCACTCAGACCTACCAAGCCATTTTTACAGTCTTCATGCATCTACACCAGACATCCAGATCTACTTTTAAGATGACTGTCAGCTTTCACTCCTTCCCTATTCTTGAACCGCATTCTCTCATGGCAGCTTGATATGACCCTTACTCAGAAAGAATAGGCAAGACTTGTCTCCACACTGTCAGAACCTGCACTTCCACAATCAGGAAGGCACTGCTCAGAAACATCAGGTTTAACAAACATTCCCTCAGGACTGAACGCGGCGATTATTCTTTTAACATAAAGACAGGCTGTTTCGAGCATCAAAGCTATACAGCCTGAGAGACAGCTGGCACAGCAACCTAATGTTACTAAAGGACCAGCAAGGCTCTATACTGTCTGTCTCACAAATAACACAAATTTACATGTAAATTTGTAACAAACATTTATGCAACAACATGGAGATTAAAAAAAATATACATAAAGCAGTTATTAATGCAGTCACTGAAGGCAATATTTACCTCTTGGGTTTGAAGACGACCTTCTGTCCTCCTTCAAGTATTAGCAAAGCTTTCAGTTGGGTCCCTTTGTATCCCACATCAGCTTTTATTATTTTCTTTGTTGTCATGGCATGCATAACAGCCCCTAGCTCGGGTGTCTCCTCAGGATACACCTCCCGGGGCACCACCCATTGGGCTGCAATTTCCCAAGGGGACTGCAACGTATGGTCGAGTCGAGGGTCCAGTTCTACGTGGAGGCTTGCCATCATACGGTGAAAGGCGCGCTGGTCCTCCCGATTGGCGGCTGAGGTGTCCAAGTTGTCAATGAGGAAAACTTTTGTGAAAATGAAGATGACAAGGAGGATGGCCAACAGCACAACCCGCTGTTTTAGCTTCATGGTGACCTTCAACCCTTCTCCCCTGACCCTTTCTTCCAAGCGTTACAGGAAGTCTGTTGGAGATCAGGGTGAGGAAGGGGATGTTAGTTAATGAATTTCATTCATAACTTGCATTGTGAAAGAGGTATCGCCACTGAAGCATCTTCTGGTACCCCTAAAAATAAACAAATCACAAACTTAAAAAAAAATGCATTCCTGCCGATCCCACCAAACTCAAAATCAGGTTTATTCTTGGAGCATAAGTCTGCATTTATGTACACTTGTACCCTAAAGCCCAAACATTTCTGTTAAAACACATGGGGCTTGCTGTCTTCCTGTAGCCTTTCAGTGATGTGCATGAAAAGGGAAATTGCCTGATAGCATCTCTACACAGCTGAAATCATAACAGCTGCAACTACCATGGGCAAGACTTCTGCAGAGAATTGTAGTTTAAGTTGATTGCTCCACTTTCACGCACACTTTTCCACCAGTAAGAGAACCCATGACCTCTGGTTTCCTAAAGATTTGTCCCCCAAGACAGAGCTCCCAGGTAGATTTCCCGACATCTGACAACCGGTGAGAACAGCTGCACAGCCCAGTTTCCTGAAGGTACAAGACATAAGGGCAGAATAGACTTAATTTGTTTATTGCCTCTCATTTTCTGCCACTATAATTTATCCATCTTTTTTCCATTCTTAAAAAAAAAAGAAGAAAAAACCAGGGGAGGTGGACATCTTTACTTCCTTGCGGTTAACTATGTATCTTCTGCAGTCAACTGTAAAACCAATAACCACAAAACCCATACAAAATATCTGTAATCTCAACACCAAGTTACCAAGTAACAAGAAAAAAAAACCCCAAAACACTAATAACTGCCTCTTCTCAGAAACCTCACCTGTAACAGTTAAAAGCCACATCTGTGTTTCTATATTTACAGTGGGCTGCAAGACACGCCTCACCCTGCAACAAGCCTTTGTCAGTGTTAGCATACAAGGACCACGTAACACACAGTTAATCAACTGTACTTCAATTATGAGGACAGAAATTATCTTCATAATATAAGTTGAATGTAGTCAAAACCCAAATGGAAACGGATACTACGGCACATCTCTAAGGAACACTCGGAGCCAACAGAGATTTCTCTTTGCACAAGCCATGCTAATCATGAAAACCACAAATGGCAGCCTGAGCTGCGGCAGGACTAATACAGAAAAGCCTTCTCATGCGATTTAACAATAAGCGTATAAACCAGTCATTATTAATCATGTCACTGGAAAAACAAGCTGCACAGGCTAAGTTAATTTACCAGCAGCAACCAAAGGATAGACAGACTATGACTTGCCGGCCAAACACAGATCACAGCCATCTTCAGTGTCTGTGTGGACACCATGCCCTGCCCGCAAAGGTCACAGCGGGTTACAATGGTTCTGAGGGGCTTGAGCATATCCTTGAGGTACATCTCCACCAAAGATTAAGGCCGTGGCAAACAGCAGATGACAGTAAGGCACATCCTCTGAGGAAGTCATCAGTGCAGAATCAGGTTGGCACAGTATAAGGGTACTCGTATAAAAGCACATGCAAGCCCAAGGATGACCCCACAGCACCTTAAATAAATTTACATGAGGTCTATAGCGGACCCACCCTACATCCCAGCTAGGTGGCTCTCCCACCTTCCCCCGCATCAGTGTAGTTCAACGACCCAGGTTGCCGAGCCTCCCAAACATTAGCCATCACCTTTGGTTTCTGCGCGAACCACCTACTGTTAAGTTTTTGAGCCAATGGACAGTTTAACACCTGACTACAAAACACCACTACTGGTGCAAGTCAGAGAGACAAGGGAGGGCGGCACAGCAGCTCCAACAGTGGGCTATGATTCATCAAGGGTCTAGAAAGCCTACCTACCTACAGAGGGCACCTTAAGTTACTCAAGTCAGCACTGTCACCTAAAGAATGGCCCCACTCTCCATGTACTTCCCACCTTCATGCAATGAACTCCATGAAAGACCTGATCAGTGTCAAAGCTTGACCGTTTTTATTAACTCCTGGCTTCACCCTCCTTCCCTCAAATCTGGTTTCCAACGTGGTTTCACAAGCATCTGAGGAGGGCACACTACGAGGCCAAGAACAAGCGTTTCTCCTGGAAGCAGCACCAGTGATGATATGTGCAGGTGAAACTACGGCCCAGGCCAGCCCAACGAAGAATAAGCAGCTGAACCACTTAGAAACAGTCACAAAGAGCCCACCAAGAGGTACAAGGAAAATCTGGTAACAACTGTCAGATCTTCCTATTTTCAAAATCACTCTTCTCAGCACAGTGACCACTCAACTTTCAGGCGACACGCTCTGACATTGCAGAAACATGGCTTTTAGCTCTCCTTATCATCTAAATTGTTTTTGCCATCATTGTCCTGCCTCAGGTGACAGCTCACTTCAGTTTGGCCCTTCCCAAGTTACACATTTTGCCTCTTAAATATTTCCTATAAAACCTGTCCACTAAAGCAGGAAAGAAAGTGGAAGTCTCCTAATGACAGTGAGTTAAAACGGAGATGTGAACAAGTGGTTTAATGTTAATAGCAACCACCTCCAGCAATATAAAAACCCCATGAAGGGTAAAGGGCAGGGTGAAAGAAGGCTACCAAGCCTCAGGGATGCTTCAAACTAGTCCTGTGGTTCCCTGTTAACTATGTAATACTGATTTTAATCTATTGGAAAATAAGTGCTTGTGCTAATAGTGAAAGACAACAAATCACATGTTTATATGGAAATTAAAACATATTCTTGTTCATCTCAGTTCTGTTCAGGCAGCCTGTATTTCTCCAAACAGCACATCGATCTGCACATTGCACACTGCAAGAGTGAGAATGAGAAGCACAGGCAAGGAAGATGCACCTGACCTAAGAGCCCTCGTTCTTGCAAATACAGACTCACCCAGGAGGAGAGCCCTAAATATTATTATTATTATTAAATCTAAATAAACAAGCAAAGTAGATCAGGCTGAAACAGTACCTTCTCATTGTAACTTCATAATTTCACACTTTGAACATTGCTGTTATCAAGATCTGCTTTCATTCATTTTTAAAATCCAATGGAGTTTATAAGAAGTTACACAGAAGAACACGGTTCATTTCGGAGCAGTTACTCCTCATTATGAGATATGTATACATGTACACACATATTTTAAGAAAGCCTCACAGCCCAGTGTTGGCCAACTAAAGCACAGGACAGAAACGTTTCATACCGTTGGAGCTCAATCTGGGCACTCACTTTCCTAGACTGATTTCAGGAATGCTAAGTTTCTCTAGGGATTCTTTTTGTGGGAGAACGTAACTAGAGCCACCACTTAAATTAAAGGTCATTTCCTTAGTTTATCTTTTGTGACAGCTTTGAAACTAATTTTGGCTGAAAACCTCCAACTACGTAGACGGAATTTACAAAAAAAAATTTAAATATTTGCTATAAGACATTTCGGTAATTCCCTCAACTGAACAACCAATCCTCACCAAACATTTCTCCTGAAGTTACGCAATTAAATCCTGACATCCCAACTAAACCCCTACCCTGATTTTGCTCTCTGTAGCTTTAAGCAGGTGAATCAGCTCTGACTTTTTACTGACATCTGCCGAAATGAGTCATCAGCTGCTTTTCTCCAACAAACAACAAGACACCCCTGAGGTTGCTATGCAATCGATTTCACAGAGCCTGCACATTACTCCTTAGGTGCCAACATTATGCTCCTTGCTGTACGAGCCAACAAAAATTAATCCCTTCTTCATGAAGAAGTTTACCACAGAGAGCAAGAACTTAAGCTTTATTGTTTTAAATTGAAGATGGCAGGAGTGACAGCGGTGAGGTGTTGTAAGAAGATGTTTATGTAGTTTTGGAAGAAGTCAATTTGAAGAAAAGGACAAGTCTTTTCCAGAAAGACTTGGACTGGAAAAGAGGATTATAAAAGCTCAGGAAGTGTGAAGATGCTCCTGGAATGAGGACAGAGATGGGAGAACTGGCCACAGAAACAAATGAAATAATAATAATAAAAAAAATTAAAAAGGGGGAAATAGGGCGAGTTGTGAGCAGAACTCTGTGGAACAAAGGGTGAAAGGGTTTAGGACAATGACAAAAGTAAATCCAGGTATAATCTCAGAAGGAGACACAAAAATTAAATTGTTCCAGAAACTGGCAGGGGTGAGAGGATGAGGCAAGGGTCTTCATGCTTCACATGGGGCAAAGGGACAGAGCAGCCGCTCACTTCTACATAAGAGTCGCAGGACTATGGGACGCACAGAATGGTACTAGATACTCTTTGAACCAGAAGGCATCAGAGAAGGAAAACCCCAAATAAAGTTTTCAGAAGTCAAACATGTTTTAAGCCTCCAACCAGAGCTAACATGATATAATGACAGAGTAATCCCTGTATGCACCTACCGTCCCATAACAACACACATGTTGGGCAGCAGCTGCTGATCTCATACCAAGGTCAGGTAACTCCAAAAGTGGGGGGATTTTTGTTTTTTTAATTTTTTTTTTTTCCTGAGCTTCTACTTAGCATTATCTCCAGCTATCATCATGAAACAGAAGACATCATCCAAAGAGTTTTGTTGCTTTACCATCCAAACTCCATCCCTATGTCACAGAAGTAGAGAAAACCCCACTTCCCTCTACCATAGCCCTGATTGACGAGGAAAAGAAAAGAGTCAGAAACAACCATATCAGCTTTTTAATAGGGTAGTTAACTGGCAAGTTTGCTTAAGCAATGCTTCTTGGTTTTCAATACCTCTTCAGGATATTTCCTGATCAATTTTGTCTTTCATTATAGCCAGGTCTGTATTCTTAGCAAGTAACAAGTCTTCCAAGTCAATATCCAAATAACAGCATCTTCTAAATATCACAGTGGGGTCCCTGTGCACACAAACGCCTGAACTAGCATTAAATACCAACATCGTACCGCTTTACTCCCAGTTCTAAAAGCCACATGAAACTCGTCTGCTACAAACAGCAGCAAAATCACAGTGACCGTAAGCAGCCTACAAAGTTAGCAGAGGACCGGATCTCAGAGACGAGTTTTTATTAAAGTCACAAGACCAATGCCATAACATGTACCATAACCTTATTTTTATATCATAAAGCTAGAAAGCTGCTATCTCAAAAATACTTGTGTACAACTTGCAAGGTTTTTGTTACGCTCCAAATGACAAATAACGTCTGAGGGCTGGCAAAGGTTTGGTCTCTCAGGACAAGGACAGAAAAAAAATCATAGTCTGAACAGATGCCAATCTGAAATAAACATGGTTAAGTATACTCTAACTCCTGTTTAAATGCAGGTTTTATCTTCCTAAATACACTATGCCTTTTGGGATCTCCTATGAAAACGTCTTTGGAAGTTCTGTATACAGTAGTGATGTTTTCTTCTTCCTAAAATGTACTTCAGTCTCACCAGATCAATCCTTCCTCCCATCCTCCCCTCTTTGGCCAACTCCTGGGTCGCTCATGCTTTCCCTCTCTGCGTTATTTCAGTTTTCACAGGCAGGCTCCCACAGACCTTTACTTAGATTTTTCAGACTCATTCTGTCACTTCTACTCTCTGCATGCTGCCTGCTTTGTGTACGAGTTTAGCAACCCAGTGCACAAGGCTTCACGTATTTACTTGTCAGCTATTTCTCCATCTCTTTTTCTGTTAAAACCCCCACTATCTATAGGCAAAACTTTTGCTACAGTCTATGTTCAAACTTTCCTTTCCACATGCACAATTGCATCCCTGGTTGAGAGCTACAGTGTGGATAAAATATGAAAGATCACAGGCATTTTAACTGCTGCATTATCTCTCTCTGCAACTGTGAAAGTTGCACACTTCTGAGATAAATTAAATAATTTTGTGCTTCTGTCTGTCCACCTTGCCCCATTATGTTCCTTACTAACTTTAGAATCCATTACCTACAGTTCTGTCAAATTTGCCAGGGGAATACATTCATGAGCTTTACAAAAACAACTGGCCAGATGGAGGACAGAAGCCTCAAGAAGTCAAGGACAACTCCGTACATATCCTCAATCTTTACCAGCATCCGGCTGCCTGCTTGGCAAATGGGAACACCTGACTCAGCTGGCTGCACAAATAAAGACGGGGCAGATCAGGACACAGGCAGCACTGGGGTGCAGTCCTGTGGAGAGGGAGGCTACCGGGGGACTGAGAGCAGTAGGGGGCAGGGGCAGGAGTCACTGTGATAGGATGCGGCAAACAAGTCTCCAGGAAACGAGGCTTCGTCAATTCTCCTTGCAGAACAACTTTCCTTCAAGCACAGTTTCCTATGGAAACAAAGTTTATATAATCATGCTTTTCACTGGTAAGCTTTTGGATCCATTGGCTAATTTTAAATGCATCTGAGAGAACAGTAGATGTTTTGAAGACAGAGTTTAGGTGTTCATTGGGAATTGGCAGCTGGGGAGCACTGAGGGAAAGGCTGCAGCATTAGCTCAACAGTTGCCTGTGTGCCTCGGCCATCTGGGCAACCAGCATGCGCACAGCTGGTATGTGGAGGGAGCTGGAAACACCGCATGAGAAGGAAGGAATTGAAAGGACTATAAAGTGGAACGGTACGGGACGCAGGCAGGAGCTGAGGGTAACAAAGCGGAGAGTGCTGGGACCTAGTCAGAAGACAACAGAAAACATGCCTGTTTCAGTAGTAAGGGAACAACTCCCCCTGGCCCCCATCCCAGTTGCTGACGTTCCACCTGACCATCATGGGCAGATACACAACAATAACGTGAGCTGGAAATGTTTTAGGGAGCCTTGTTCAACTTGGAAGTAAAGCCAAAGTAGTGAGAAAATGCCGTCGTTTTCCTTCTCAACTTGATGTTCTTTTGTTTATTCAGTTCACACCTAGAGATGGGCACCAAAAGGTCAACCTGGGTCTGTACACCTACCTGACGTTTAGCAACAGCAAGCCTATCTCTGCGATAAGATAGCACCAATCAACCTCCCCTACTCCCAAGGGAGGCAGCAGACAAGGAACTGGAGGACAAGAAATTTTGGTATGAGAACTGAACTGTAAACTTTGTTAATGTGCAAGAAGACAAAATCTGCCTCACCCTCCTGAGATTTTATATTGCAAATGGAGACAAATCTCGTTGCAGCTAAGTAGGTCAGACTTAAGGCTGTAAGAGGTGCATGGAGTAATTTTCAAATTAAAGTAAGACCATGGTATTAATGCCCTATTCTGTAATAAGTACCAGGTGGGATCTATTCACATGGAATTCACTGCAAGCCCAGCATCTGCGTTTTGCAGTTTTCGCTGTTTGCTCAGACCCTAAAGCACGTACGTATAGTGCAGCACCAGGGCCTCAGCCAGCATAAAACAAAACAGCTGTGCTGCTTATACACATCTGTATCCAGAAAGGATCTAAAGACAGATGTCCTTTAAAAACGGTTAAAGCCATGGCTTTGACAACTATGATGAGCATTTCTCCCCAACAATACCCGCCTTATTTTTCGCAACCTGACCATGACCTTAGCTAAGCTGGAAGGGGCACTCTGCGGGCCGGCCCGTTGCGCGGAGGGCTATTCACCAGCGCGAGCGCGTCCTTAGGAAGGCAGCAGGCTTCACAGCTGGGCGGCGTTCTTTTCCCATCTGAAAGCAAGGCTCCACAAGAGGAAGGAAAACGTAAGAGCGCAGATAAACATTCACATCTGCTCTGGCGATGCCTGTCAAGTCCTTAACTGACCACGGCCAGAATCGGAAGGCATTTTGGGAACCTGACCTTCCGCATACGGGAATGCCTCCGTAGAGGTGTTCCCAGTGAGGCCAGATCTGCTCAGACCGAACGCGTCCTACGTGCCGGAGGACCCAGCCGTGCCCCATTCCACCGCGCTGCTCAC